AACATCATCATCGACTTGAGAGATGTAGCTCCTGTGCATGGCTTGACATATCTGCCACGTAACGACGGTATTGAAAAGGGTAGAATTGGTCAGTTCAAGATTGAATGCAGTAAGAACAGTCGGGCTTGGGATATCGTCGCTACAGGCCAGTGGGCGGATAACGATACATTAAAGTGTACAACCTTCACGCCTACTACCGCGCGCTTTGTCCGTTTGACGGCTCTAACTGAAGCCGGTAACCGATGTTCATATATCAGCGCAGCAGAAATTAACCTGCTATCGGCCAAAGCCCCTGCGATACATCGGCGAAAGCATGGCCGACCCAAGATTTCAAGCTAGACAGAGCTCAGCTTATCAAGAATTTTCCACTCGTATATAAAATACGAAACTTATCTATTAACTCTTAAACGCTTTTCACATTTTTTTAATATCATGACTATTTGTGGGTCCGGTTAGGCTCACAGCGAAATATATAAGAAATGATTCGATTGTTTCTATCATGATCTCCCTGAACGTGAATGTGTTGATATTAGTGCATAGAAAGAAGAAATCATACGTAATTTAGAAGAAGCTTTCTCAAAAAAGTATATATTCGTTTTTTGTCCATCTGTAGGTGTATTATACCATTTGCAGAAAGAAAACTGTGAATTCACTTAAGATTTGATTTTGCTGTCATAGCTCATGGGTAAAATTTTCACAGGTTTCTTAACATTCACAATTATCCTAGAATAGAGTCAAATTTATATACTGTCTAAATACAGATGATTTATTATCTATCATTTATTAGAAAAAAATGTCACCTAAATTTTGCTTTTTATTTGTATAACTTGATAAATGATGCACCAAAATAAAAAATCAGATAATTTTCTTTAATACTGAAAAATTTAAATGAATTTTACTAAGAGTTCTCATAAAAGTAATTATAGCACTTAAATAAAGATTTTTAGTTGTAGACGTATAAGAAAGTGGAATTTCCATTAAGTAAACTACGATAGACATAAATATCTGCTAATGTTTGTAATATGAGAAAAACTATGCACTTCACATGTCTATCAATCGTTCCCATCCATGACATGTTACAATTAGCATTATATTTCATCATGAAACACCAATTCGCAGTATGTAGTAATTCTTTCTAAGAAATATAGTATTATCATATTTCATCTAGTATACACTACGAGAGCATGTTTTAAATAAAGAGAAAATTTTATTATCTCTATTAAACTCGTGTATAAGCAATTCGAGATGATTCTTTTATAGTCATAAATATATTTTAAAGCTAATAAATTATATTAGTTATCACGAAATCGATCACAGCTTCGACAGAGAGAGAGAGAATGCATTCATCATTTGTATATAAAAATAAATATATCTATATGAATGTCCTTAAGTCATATTTTCTGCATGAAAATAGTTCCATTTACGATAATTATATAAAAATATACATTAATTGATCATTATTATCTAAGAAAGTTATATTTAAAGTACTATTAAGATAAGAAAAACTCGATTATAGTACATTTTTTTGATAGAAAAAAAGAAGAACAATATAACAAATAGTATATCTATGTATACAAATAAGCTTGATCTAAACATAAATATCCTATATGTTTATGGTTTTTTTTGTTGTTGTTGTTGTTGTTGTTGTTGTTGTTTTGTTATATTCGTTTGGGTAGTTGATTCTTCTATTGGTAAATGTGAAATAACATCACCAATATTTGTTTCAAGTGTATCAATTCTTTTGCCTAATTCATTCATACGATTCATAACTTGATCGCTTGCAACCATAAATTTTTCCTCCATTTGTTGGAATATTGTATTTACCTAATAATTAAATTATTCCAAGTAAATATTATCATTATAATATAAACTTACATATGTTGTTAAACCATTAATATTATCAAAATCAGAAGGTAGAGATGAATTATTGTTATTATTCGATGCGGTTGAAGATGATGATGATGAAACTGTTCGCATGTCAGTCATTTTGTATATAAATTCAATGCTTTTTTTTGTGGTGACTACGTAACAGAATAAGAAGGAATAAATGGTCGATCTTTTTCTCGCTTCGCTTTTTTTTCTGCTACTATTTGACAGACATTTAGATGTTCAAACCAATAATGAAGTCAACAGACGTCACTAGTTAACATCAATATTCTCTGAGGGTAATTTGACTTATCCACTCAAGACAACTTACATGACAAACGATCGTATTATCGTTTCTTATGTATTTTTTTATGCTTCATACGTAGAATATTTCTTCATTATTCTATTTAAAACATCACTAAAATTTGCGAGCAATCTGAGTTTTTACGACCCAAAATATTTGTTCTGATAAACGAAATATCTTTCTTCTTCGTTTTTTTTACAAATGACACACGCGTATAAATACCAACGATATATATATATCAATCGCATGTTCTTAATAAATTGTTTGAGAATAATATGAAGTACAAAATGCATTAAATTATTAATATACTCATTGAGACATATTTCAAGTAGTTCTAAAACTTATCCTTCAAATATTTATTCATTTTCTAAATTGATTTCATGATAAACACATATGGACAAAATCAAGGTAAGTTATACCCCCTACTATTTTTCTTGTATATTACTCGTACAAGGACTTTTTCTTTACATAGAACTCTCTTTTATTTGAAAATTATTTTATTCTTATAAACATTAAATAAATGCTTTTACCAAATCTTTCGAAATATCTGTTCTTCTACTTAACCTTTTCTCATTGTCTGTATGCATAATCATCTTAAGGTGTCATTATCTCAGTTATTGTCATTAACTTTTAAGTGATGATGGAATTGCGCTCAATATATGTATGGAATGACAGGATCAAGGTTAACATCAATCTTATTAAATTTTTCATTACAAACAAAAGATAGATTATTTTCGAACTGAAGATATAGCACTAGAGTAAAATCAAGGTAAATAGAATCGTTTAATACTTCAAATAAGAAAAATATCATGTATCATGATGATAAAACCATATTTGTCTCTCGTATGTGCTAGTTCTCATTCATGTAGAGACAACAAGACTGGTGTCTTTAATAGATTTCTTTTCTCTTTTTTTTTTGTCTTTCTATCTTATTTTATTTCTATGCATCCATTCTCTTTTTTTGTGCTTTTGCAGCTGCTTACCCTTTTTTTCACCTCTAACATTGTGTGTGTCTATAAATATGCGGTTTGTTTTTTTTGATTTTTATGCTATCACTTTTATCATAGATTCTTTCGTTTATTTCCTAGCCTCCCCTTGCGTATATTACTTCGTTCCCCTTCATCGATATGATAATAATAATTAACACATTTTTGTTTCCCGAAGAATTTTTTTTATGAAAGATCGTTTTTTTTTTGGCATTGTTGTTTTGTTTATGGGTAAGCAGCATTCATTAATTGTCATCTCTAGTTTGTTGTTAGTCATAAATCACTTAATCTATACATTATCTTCATGTTTTTTCTTATCGTTATGATTAGGTAGTAGTTTTAATCATGCATTTTTTTTCTCTTGACAGTCTGCGTCAAATTACCTCTGCTATATACATATCTAACTATTATAGAACTACGCATCTTTACACAGACTATGTATATAAATAAAGTATATGAACCATTCATTGTGTTTATGTATGCCGGCATTAGTGTTGATGAAGATGATGACGGATACGTAATCAACTTAGTTGTATATATACATATATATATATGTTATATGTGCGTGTGTGTGATATAAGTGACGAACAGTCAGAATGGCAGATCAAAGCACGCCCATGAGAGACTACATGTGTGCATAATACAATTTGCTAGTATTGTGAGTACATTTGCATGTCTTCCTATTGTTAAGTGTTCCATTGAACACGGAGGAGTAGCAATATAACAGATTGTTACTACTGCTGATGCCTGTCTTTTTGTCTGTTAAAAATACGTGTGTCTATGCATATTTGTCACGTTTGTACGAAAAAAAAAATCGTTCGTTGATTGTGTTTATGTGGATAAAAGTCGAAGGAATAGGGGAGCACAAGAGAAAAGAAAGAAGAAAAAGAAAAAGGTTAACGTATTGCAACCACCAAAGAGAAAATTTCTACAAAGAAGAAGAATGTAAACCACATATGTAGAATGATGATATGTCAGAATCTAAAATAAAGAGGTAGTCACAAGAGAGTATATTGCTGTGGCATACCGAGTAACAGCAGGAGTAGTCATCATTATATTCACGTATGCTATTACTATTGTCAGTTTTTTTTCTCTCATTTTTTCTTTCTTATTGCTTTCCCTTCGTATAATACTAATCGACCGTATCTTTTTGTTTTCAGTATTTTTGCATCCTTTCAATATCTATTTGATTCATTCATCATTACATCATTATATCATTTCAGATTAGAATACGAATAAAACAAAGGACAACAAAGATCAAATATGAAGGTCAGCGTATTAGTTACACTTATTGTTTTACCGATGCTTGCATCAATTGGTCTGTATTGTTATGCGTTTATAAGTACACGTTGGAGTTCTATTGATGAAGACTTAATTAATCGATATAGTGAAATAAATGATCGACAACGTTCTCAATCAACTACAAAATCTTATAATAATACTAATATTCAATTACAATCACAATCAATTCGACATGCATTTCGTTCACGTTATGGTTTATTTGGATATTGTTTAGATTATCGATGGATTAATTTACTTGCACCTAAACCAATACGAAGAACAAATGAAAATCTATTGACAACAAAACCCGTATTTTTTTGTGATCGATGCAATCAACCAATACTAGAGTGTCCTGAAACAGGATGTTGTGTAAGTTTAAAATAGTTTTTTGTTATGATTGTATTGTTTTTTTTTATTTTCTTTAGATGAAACGATGTGATTCTATACCTGATTGTCCATCATATATCGATGAAAAAGATTGTAATCGTCCATATAATGAAACACGTTATTTTTGGCCGGAAAAACATTGTATTTGGAAATCAACATGGATTGGTAATCAACCAATACCACGTTATGAATTATCATATAAAAATTCACCAAAAGAATTTCATTACTATATGAAACGTATGCTTTATTATATTATGTTTCTGTTATTTGTTGCTGCACCATTATTAACATGTGTTGCATTATTAATTATATTTTGTATAAACTGTGTTCAACGTTTTTATTCAATTCCATTCGCATTTGTTAGTTTCATATCGTTAGCATCGTTTTTAAGTGGTGCTGGTGCAGTCGGAATATTTTTATATGAATGGGTACAAGAACGTTTGCATCGACCTGATTTTACCTATGATTTAGATCAAGCTGAAGCATTAGTTGTTGCTTTTAATCCATGGCTTGTTAATGTTGAACGTTTAGGTTTAGCTTTTTGGTTAGTAGTTGCTGCTGTTGGTACAACATTATTTACAACAATACTTAGTTGTTGTTTTTGTTGTGGATTACAATCAGAAAAATCGAAATTACGTTTTCATGTTGATAATGAAGTTTATGAAATTGTTCAAATGGCACCTTATGATGAGTGAACAATCATTGATTTATTTAACTTAGGAGCTTTTTCATTTTCTTTTTTTTTTGTACCTTGTAATAAAAGAAATATTGTTTAGATTAGTACCTTTCTTTTTCTTCCTTATAGAGAAAAAAACCCATATTATTAATAGCTACCGGTGATTTAATGCAACTTATAGGCTTTTGTCTAAACCTTTATCTTGTCTTATTTTTCACTGAATTAGTCTGTAATATAATCTTCAAATTTTTAATATTATTATTGCAGTATTTGATTCAGTTCATTTTCGTTTTTGTATAAATTTACACTTTGTATTAAAGATTATAAAATGAATGAACAAATGTTTATTTAACTTCAATCGAAGAATTTGATACGAAATATGTATATAGGAAAGAAGTAAATTACTTTATCACTTGATCGGATACATCCTATAGACATAACGAAAGCATTCGATTACAGATTAAAATCGTTGATTTCAAAAATAAGTACCATTTATGTCATGTTTATTCATTCTCTAAAGTGATTCTTTGCATTACCGTGTATGTCGTCATCTTGTTTTTCTTTTGAAATGATGTTATTGCATCATAATCGACTAACGTAAGTATTTATTATAAAAGAAGAGGAAGAAAATAACATTTCAATGTGATATTTACCATGGCAATAACATATGATAAACTTTTTTTTCAAGCGTTTAACTGTTTACCAAATCAATCAAAAACATTAGAAGAATATTCAAAAGATGAACTTATAAAATTAATTAATATATTAAAAGATGGTATTGATTCATTCAATAAGACAACTAATAAAAATGAAGAAATATTACACGATGAAAATAAAGATTTTGGTTTAGGTATTGTTGCAGAAAATCAAAATGATTTACAAATATTTCAAGAATTTTGCACAAAAAATTTTGTACCTATTTCAAAAGAAAACTGTCATATTTCATCTGTATTTAATCAAAATATGATTGATGCTTATCTGAATACAGGTATTAATCATTTTCGTAGTGAATATGCAATGTTTATTATCTTAAAAAATGTACAATTTGATGAATTATTACCATTAACTATTCAACAAGAATTTACTCGAAATAATAAATTATATAAATATCAAATGCAAATTCTTATTCAGAAAAACGATGAAACAAATGAAGAACTTCTTAGTAGAATTTGTGATCAACTTGTTGGTGAAATATTTTTTATTGATCATGATGATCATGAATCTATTCCATCATTACCTGCTCCAAAACAACCACAATTTGTATCGATTTTCCCTCATAGTCAAATTGCTTGTTGGCCTTTACCAGCTCGACGTGATTTGAATAGATTTAAAAAGGACCTGGGTGTCACTCATATATTATCATTACTAAATTCGAAAGAAATTAGTAACTCTAAAATCTGTAATCTTATTGAAACACACGGTATTATATCAATACATTTACCTATTCAAGGTGCTGATCTTCCTGTATTTACATCATCACAAGAAA